CCTTCCTTCCTTCCTTCCTTCCTCCCTCCCTTCCTTCCTTCTTTTTGAGACACGGTTTTCCATTAGCCTCAGCTGTCCTGGAACTTGCTATGTAGACTAACCTGGCCTCAATCTCACAGAGATCCACCTGCCTCTGCCTCCAGAATGCTGGGATTAAAGGTGTATGCCACCACCAGTACTCTGGAAAATATAAGACTTCATTCACACATGCAATAGGTTACTAAATTTGCATAATGTCTTTAATATTGAAATTCATTCTTTGTGTTAAGTCGGGAGTACAGCTTGTTGACACTGAGATGCCTCTATAGAAAGGAAGAAAGGAAGGGTGGTAATGAAGAAACTTCTAGCTTAAGAAATTAGAGAAGGGGGCTGGAGAGACAGTTCTGTGGTTTAGAGAGGAATCAGCTTGGGTTCCCAACACCCACACAGTGGCTAACAGCTGTTCATAATTCCAGTTCCAGGGAATCTGGCCTGTCTTCTGGCCTCCGCAGACAATCCACACATGTGGTGCGCTTACATCACGCAGGCAAAACACTCATAACACATAAAATTTTAAAAAAATAAATTTTCTAGACATGCCACAATGCCTTTAATCCCAGCACTTGGAAGGCAAAGGCAGACAGATCCCTGTGAGGTCAGCCTAGTCTATGGAGTGAGTTCCAGACCAGCTGAGGCTACAAGGTGGAGAACTGCCCAAGAAAGCCTTACCCCTGATGAGCTGTGGATTCACTGTGATGGGCCTTTCCCATGGGAACCATAGGTGTGCTGTCTTTCAGGCCATCAAAAGTTTTCAAAATTCTCCAGTGGAAGTAAATCAGACTACAAGGAAATTTGACAGATGTCAAAATCAGGACTCCACAGTAGGGAGGTAGCCTTGCAGTTTTGGGAAGTCTGTTTTCCATGATTAACTGTAGAATGGTTTGAGTCAAGAAGAAGGGAAAATCCCTGGAACTCTTGGTGAGGCCTGAACAGGAGCAGTCCTGGCAGCAAGAAATGGACCAGTGGCTTCACCGGGTCAGCTGTGATGGGTGGCATCCTCCAGGCTTAAGCGAAGGAGACAGTATTGTGTTGACAAGATTCACCTCTGCACAGCTTCCCAGTGGCTTTCAGTCTGCTGGAGACCTTTTCAGTTGCTTTCAAATCAGTTACCAGCCTCAACTTTAGAAAACTACTGATAATATAAATGGGATTTTCCCCTGGATTTCTTTAACTGGGTGAGCTATAGCACCAAAGGTCTTAGAAGATCAAGTTATGGTCTGTTTAAGAAAATAGGTGGGAGCCGGGCTCAGTGGCACACACCTTTAATCCCAGCACTCAGGAAGCAGAGGCAGGTGGATCTCTGTGAGTTCAAGGCCAGCCTGGTCTACATAGTGAGTTCCAGGACAGCTGGGGCTACAGGGAGACCCTGTCTCAAAAAGACCAAAAAAAAAAAAAGGGGGAAATTTGATCACTTCTTTTCCAATTATTACTCCTTTAATTTCCTGTTCTTGTCTTATTGCTCTCTATTTAAAGGGACATGGGAGGTCGGAGAGCAAAGATACCGTGTGTTATTTATTCACATGTGCATTGCATTTGTGATCAAAAAAATGTCTACTACCATTTAAAGATTAGATTAAGGATACAAGTCCTTGAATGATGAAGAGGGCTGGCAAGATGGCTCAGTGGTGAAGAGCACTGACTGCTCCTGCAGAAGACCCGGGTTCAATTCCTAGCACCCACGTGGCAGCTAACAACCGCCTGTAACTCCAGTTCCAGGGTATCCAATGCCGTCTTCTGACCTCCATGGGCACTGCACAACATGGGTGCACTTACACACATGTGGACAATACACTCATACACATAAAAGAAAAATAATAAATAAAATATTTTTAAAGGCAAATCACAGTGAAACATGACCATTATATTCTTGGGGATGTCTCTCCCAGGTTGTCTGTGAACAGTTCTCCAAACATTAAAAAGCTCTGGAACTTAAAGAAAAAAGAAAAGGAGGACAGGAAGACAGGAGTGACAGCTGTACAACAGGATGAGTGTATGTAACAGGAAAAAACTGTACACTAGCTAAAATAGTAAATTTTCTGTATGTTCTACCACAGTTTAAAAAATATGTTAAGATGGGGGCTGGAGAGATGGTTCAGCAGTTAAGAGCACTGGCTGCTCTTGCAGAAGACCCAAATTTGATTCCCAGTGCCCACATGGCAGCTCACGACTATCCATAACTCCAGTTCTAGGGGCTCCAACGTCGTGTTCTGACCTCCATGGGTATTGCACGATACAGGTGCACTTACATACATGTAGACAAAACACTCCTACACATAAAATAAAAATAACTTTTAAAATGCATTACCAGAAATTAGAAAAAAGAAGAACAAATAGAAACCAAAGTAGATAGAAAAGAGAAACAGTAAACTGGGCATGGTGGCGCACGCCTTTAATCCCAGCACTTGGGAGGCAGAGGCAGGGGACCTCTGTGAGTTTGAGGCCAGCCTGGTCTACATTGTGAGTTCCAGACCAGCTGGGGCTTCAGGAAAACCCTGTCCAAAAAATACCAAAAAAGAAAAGAAAAGAGAAGCAGTAAATAGCAGAGTGAAGGTAAATGAAATGGCTTTAAATCACAGGGAAAATGAAGGAAGGACAAAGATGGTTCTTTATAACTAGTAAACAGATAAACCTTTAGCCAAGGTAATCAAGGAGCGAGAGGGAGAGAAAGAGAGAAGAAAATTACTAATAGCAATGAGAGTAGTAACTACAGATTCTATAAACAGTTAAAAGGATAATTAATAATATTAAGAAAACTTTAAGCAGGGCTGAGCGTGGTAGGGCATGCCTTTAATCCTAGCACTCAGGAGGCAGAGGCAGGTGGATCTCTGTGAGTTCAAGGCCAGCCTGGTCTACATAGTGAGTTCCAGGCCAGCTGGGGCTACAAGAAGACCCTGTCTCAAAAACACCAAAAAGAAAAAAAAATTTAAAGAAAATTTTAAGTGGAAAGAATATTTTCCAATTCATTTTAATAGATGTGCATTATTCTGATACCAAAAATAAAGGCTTAACAAAAAAGAAAAATACACAAATATCCACTGTCAACATAGATACAAGCATTCCTAAAGATTTAATAAATAGGATCCAACAATATGCTTTTAAAAATATATCATGACTATAGGTGATATATACCCAAAATAAAAGGTTGTTTCAACAGTCACAAGTGTATGCGTATGAGTGTTTTGCCTGTATATATATATGTACGTGTATCCATGTATACAATGTCCACAGAGGCCAGAAGACGGCATCATAGTTCTAAAAGTTGTTAGCCACTAGGTGGGGGCTGGGAACTGAATGTGTGTCCTCTGCAAAAGCAGTCAGTGCGCTTAACCACTGAGCCATCTCTCCAGCCCCTATTTATGTTTTAAATTTAAAAAAAAAAAAAAAAAACTTCTAGGAGCTAGGGAAATGACTTAGGCAGTAAAATGCTTGCTTCACAGCATGAAGACCTGAGTTTGGATCCCCAGTACCCACGTAAAAAGCTGAGTGTGGTGGAGTGCATCTGTAATCCCAAGACTAGGGAGACAGAAATGGGTCTAGCCATCAGAGAGCTCCAGGTTTAGTGATAGAAGAAGATACCCCACTTCAGCCTCTGGCCTACACACATATACATACACATACACTGACCATAATCAATCTGGGTGTGGTGGCTCACACATATAATCCCTGGGGGAGGGGCAAGAAGTTCAGGAGTTCAAGATCATCCTCAGGTGCATTGAAAGTTATTGGTCAGCCTGGACCACCTGAGATCCTGTCTCAAAAATAAGGAAGGAAGGAAGGAAGGAAGGAAGGAAGGAAGGAAGGAAGGAAGGAAGGAAGGAGGGAAGGAAGGAAGGGAGGAAGGGACAGTCATATGTCACTTAGAAATAAGGAAACATTCTGAGAAATGGGCTGTTAGATTATTGCATGATTGAACAAACATCATAGAACACAAGCCTTGGTGGTATGATTTACACTCCTGGGCTATAGGGTGTACATATTCATAATTCAGCCTAGCTCTCTCAGGGCCATGAGGAACAGAACAACCAGAGATTAGATCACGCACAGGAGAGACTGACGCAACCCAGAGATGTGGCGAAC